GTCCGTGGGGCAGGTGTATGGGCAGCGAGTGCGGTCCCGGCGGCAGTCAGAGTCGTGCGGTGTGGTGTGCTCATGTGGAGGGCTGGACGACCCTCCACACCAACTGCCTTCAGTCCAGCCGACCCGCCAACCAACAGAGCTGCTTCCGCGTCTGCGACTGGCACAAAGAACTGTACGACTGGCGGCGGGGCGCGTGGAATCAGTGCGTGCCCATATCTCTGCGCACCGGCCGCACAGAAGCCTGTCTGCAGGGAGAGGAGGGCATCCAAACACGCGAAGTGTACTGCTCGCTCCGAGCGGACGGCTCGACAGCAGATGATGCCATCTGTGAGTACTTTGAGCCCAAACCCAGACAGGAACAGGCTTGTCTTATTCCGTGCCCTAAGGACTGTGTGGTGACTGAATTCACCCCGTGGACCACCTGCTCTAAGACATGCGGGTTGGGTTTGCAGAACCGTGTTCGATCTGTAGTGGCGCCGCCGCTTTTCGGTGGACTTCCGTGCCCGAATTTGACTGAGTTCCAGACGTGCGCGCCGAGGGCCTGCGAGGGCCGAGAGACGGTTTTTAATCTGAGAGTGGGCGGCTGGAGCGAGTGCCAGAGTTTGCCAGTGCCTCCGGTGGTGTTGCCGACCTCCACGGCCGCCCCCGTGCGCGCTGTGCGCCAAACCCGCCGGCGGAAGGGCAAGGAGCGGAAGGGCAGCAGAGACCCGGAGATGCGGGAGCTCATCAAGAGCAAGAGAAACCGCAACCGGCTCAGTCGGATGGAGGATGACCTCTGGAATATGGAAATAGGATTTCAGGCCCGACAAGTGGTTTGCGTTCATCGAAATGGAAGTACAGTGCCGCTCAGGTTAGTGACTTTCAGCATTAGAACTAAAGAGCTAATTTGGCATGAATAAACATGAGGTTTTGACGAATGCATGCATGCTGTGCAGTGTTAGTAGCCTACTGTAAGCAGTGTTGGGAAAAAAAAGTAATAAATTAAAATCAAGTCATTTAGTTAGTAGTAATAGGAGTGTGTGATTTTGCATTCTTAAAAGATTACGATCATGTGTTACATTATTTACCTAACAACAAGCCATTCTCACAAACATTGGCTGTGAATTTTGATTTCTTTGTGGACGAGTTGAATAGTGAAAATCCTACAACCTTGAAATAGACCTTAAAATGACTTCTACTTAATTGATTACAGTTTTCAGAACGGAGTTCTTTTGTAAGGGCTTAATTTCTTCGGTGTAACAAAGTTAAAGGACATTCAAATATTTACATTTAAATGCAGTGTCTCATTATAACTGAAGACTTAGGGCCCTATCATACGCCTGGCGCAATGTGGCGCAAGGCGCGGCGCAATAGTCTTTTGCTATTTTCAGCTTGGTGCAAGAGTCGTTTTGAGGCTTTGCGCTACGCTGTTTAAATAGCAAATGCATTTGCGCTCATATGTGCGCCCATAGGCGTTCTGGTCTGGTCTGACACGCCCTGAAAGCGTTTGCGCCCTGCGCATTGCGCATTGCGCTTTGCGCATGGACCGTCAAAATTTTATTAATTTAATTACATTTGCAACAAATAATAACTTGCCCGGCAAGTGGTTTTTGTTCTTCGAAATGAAAGTGGTGCTGCTCAGGTTAGTGACTAAAATATTCAGGGGAAATACTAGCATTAGAATTTAAGACCTAGTATAATTTGGGATGAGCAAACATGAGGGCTTGAGAGACGGATGTAGGTTACAGTATTTATGGTTAGCATGTTGTGCACTGTTAAAGGGCACCTATGATGAAAATCATCCTTTGTAAGTTGGTTGTACAGAACCGTGTAGGTATAGTCCATTTCAATGGGTTGATACCATTGGCCCATAAATATCTCCTGCTTGTTCTCAAACTGTTTTAATAACTGTAACAAGATGCAATTCAATCAAATCTCAACATTAAAACCAAATATATATATTATAATGTTATTCATCAATATGTGGACCTTATATGATTCTCAGGAGCTATGGAGATTAAAAATGTTGAACAGGAAATACAATAGGACCATTGTTATTGTTTACATACCTCAAAATGGTTTATAGTGTGTATACAGTCATATGGGAGTGATCTAAACACAACAAGTCTCCTTTTTAAAATTTACTGATGTTTTAATAGGATCTAAATCCCAGTGATTTTGAGGCCCACCACAACATGAAATAGAAGCGTGGTTTCCCTGCCCACCGAATTGATTGTCAGGTGTCAAATCTCAATATCATAATAACACATATACACATGTCCACAGAGCATTTTTTTTTTTACAAAGAAACTGGGATTAACTCTCTGTGATCAGCTGCTCCTTACTAATTAGTTTTATAAGTTTAACAGTTTTTAAAACAGTGCATGTTTGTAATAAAGAAAAGAAAATCGGCATGTAATTCTTATCTGCTATAATCACCATGGCCATATGGTGTCAGTAAACACGCATATATATGTGTGTGTGTGTGTGTGTGTGTGTGTGTGTGTGTGTGTGTGTGTGTGTGTGTGTGTGTGTGTGTGTGTGTGTGTGTGTGTGTGTGTGTGTGTGTGTGTGTGTGTGTGTGTGTGTACTGCAAACGGCATTTGCTTGTGACTCATCGTTTCAGAAAGGCTTGAATAAACTTCACTACAAACACATCAAATAAACATGCTTGGTATTTTTGACTCATGACTAGGCCCACCTGGAATCTGTGTGCGCAGAATTCCTCAGATTTTCCGCAGATTTCCAAAGATTTTTAGCCCATCATTAATTCTGTTTATTTACTTGAGTAAATGTGTGTAAATCTAAATTTATTTAGTTGTTGTTAATTAATTTCAGTAATATTATTGACTAATGTGAAAATGTTCATCTGATTTGGATTTAAAGCCACAGGCTACAAAAACAGCTACATTGTGATCAGACACCAAAATGGGCAGAATCTACATTGTATAATAAATAATCTGATGGGTATTTTGAGATAAAACTTTTAGACACATTTTAACGACACCAAAGGCTTATCTTACCTCTTGAAATAGGGGTAAAAATGGTGTCCTTTAAAGCAGCAAGTCACACTGACAAACAATGCTTGTGGATTTTTGATATCTTGGTAATTACACCTAGATAGTAAATATAATACACTGTAAAAATTGAAATGTTACAGATTTGATGGACGGATGTGTGTGCTGTGAGCAGCAAGTATGTCATGCTTTCAAAAACTAGTTGTGGAATTTGATGTCTTAGTAAACAAGAGCTGAATAGTAAATATCTCACTGTAAAAATTTTTTATCATTATTATTAAAATTTAGCTGATTAGACTAGTTTATTTTAAAATTATCTTTGAGTTATAGATATGTATTTATTTTTTAAACAATGCTATTTATGAATTAATAATAGGGGTGTCAAAATGAATTGTTTATTCGGTGCACCGCGATGCAGGACAGTTCGGCATTGGTTCAGTAATACATCATCAACAGTTATTACGTACTGATGTCATTTATCTCATATGTGCTACGTCACGGGGGGAATACTACGGCAAGGGAGGCGATCGCAAGCAAATATAACTTATGGGTTAGAGGCAATCCCAGTCTTTTCTGTTCAGCAAGTGACCAATCATAAGCATTTAACAACTCACTCGGCAATGCTTAAAAAGCAAGCAGAATTAATATTTACGTTTGTTTATATGCTTTAAATGCTCATGTTGTTGTTTGCATGTACTTGAACTTTGTTTGATGCAAAGGGTTTTCTTTGAGCAAGTAAAATTTAAGGTACAGTACATATATTTGCTGCTTGTATTAAAGAACAAGATTGTATTACAAATACATGTAAAATGTATTTAAAAATTCTATATATTTAAATACAAGAATTATGTTGCTAAGTAAAATATAAAATTGTGTATGGAAAGCATCGTCAATGTACTGTGATGCAAAGAGATATCGAATTGAACCGAATCGATGGCATGATAATTGTAACCGAACCCGTGAGACCAGTGTAGGTTCACACCACTAATGATTAATATATCTTTAGGTTAATATTAATACATTATTTTTAAAACAATTGATCAATATTAATAATAATTTAAACATCTTGTATGGTCACATTTTTCACTTTTTAAAGGTTCTCTTGTGATGGAACTCCCCTAAAATGTAATGATAGTATTTATGAGCTCATTCAATCCATTTAACTAGTAATTACAATGCTTTGTTTATTAATTATCCATTACACGTATTAGTAATCTGTATTAGCCTGTCATTTAATTATTATATTAAGTTAATCAATCACCGGCCACTTTATTAGGTACACCTTACTAGGGTTAGACCCCCTTTTGCCTTGAGAACTGCCTTAATCTTTCGAGACATAGATTTAACAAGGTACTTGAAATATTTCTCTGAGATTTTGCTCCATATTGACATGACAACATCACGCAGTTGCTGCAGATTTGTCGGCTACACATCCATGATGCGAATCTCCCATTTCACAACATCCCAAAGGTGCTCGATTGGATTAAGATCTGGAAATTGTGGAGGCCATTTGAGTACTGTGAACTCATTGTCATGTTTAAGAAACCAGTCAGAGATGATTCACGGTCATCTTTCTCATTCTGATGCTTGGCTCGAACTGCAGCAGATTGTCTTGACCATGTCTACATGACTAAATTGAGTTGCTACCATGTGAAAGGCTGATTAGAAATTTGTGTTAACGAGCAGTTGGATAGGTGTATCTAATAAAGTGGCCGGGGAGTGTCTAATATATATAATATATAAATATTTTTGCTTGTACTTTAGAGATTTGAGCTGATTTAGATAGAGTTTTTGAGTTACGTATGATATTCTGAAGGCTGTCTCTATCTGCAGTATGACTATTTATATTAATCACTGGTGGTCATTTTAATGTCTGCATAAACAAATGAACCATTGACACGTCCCACTTTCCCTTGAGCGATGTCTTTTTTCTGTTTTTGTCAGAAGCGTTAATGATGGCTCTGGAAGTGTGGATTTTTGGCGTGTTTGTGACTGGTCTCTGGGCTCTGTCATCGCTCACCCACGCTTGATGTCTGTTTTCAGCTGCTGAAATGACAACTGTATATTCCCCAGCAGCATGAGTCTGCGCCGAGTGTGAAATCTGCCAAAGTTTTGTCGTTTTCTCCAAAGTTTTTTTGCCTCAGCTCTTCTAGGTTGTGTGTCTCCGGCTGTTTGGCCTTTGATATTTGCTTGAGCTCAGGAGCAGGAGAAGAGCTGAAAGAGAAACATCTTCCAGTGCGGCAGTCTTCCAGTTTACACAAACAACTGAATGAATAGCCAACAATGCTATGGATAAAACAATCCTGAAGACTAACATACACCGACAAAAAAAATGTGAAACTGATATGTTTTTTTTATTCAAAGTGCTTTTTTATATTGGATTAAGTGAAAAACTTTGATTTCTGGTTTTAACCTGTTTGATTTAATCTTAAGTGAATTTAATTCTAAACTAATTTCGAGAGCTTATGATTGACCACGGCTGGTCCCACATTAGCTATAACAGGATTTACCAATCAAATATGCTGATTTGATTAAACATAATTTTTTATAACAGTTGATCTGTGATATGGGTGTCACAGTGGTGCAGTGGGTAGCATGACCACCTCACAGCAAGAAGGTCGCTGGTTCGAGGCTTGGCTGGGTCAGTTGGCATTTCTGTGTGGTGTTTGCATGTTCTCCCCATGTTGGTGTGGTTTTCCTCAAGGTGCTCAGGTTTCCCTCGCAAGTCCAGAGACATGCAGTGAATTGGGTAATTGGGTTGTAGCTGGAAGGGCATCCGCTGTGTAAAACATATGCTGGATAAGTTGGCAGTTTATTCCGCTGTGGCGACCCCAGATTAATTAAGGGATTAAGG